ATAACCTAAATCCTTGAGTGTGCTATCAGCTAAATCCTTGAGGTTTTATCAACGATGAGGATGGAACTCTGGCACTTCACACATCCCAAGAAAGTGCTCTACCACCATAAGCTGAAACCCTTGATGAGAATTTAAGAATCCCCTCACTGTAAATCTCATTCACTAATAATTCAGAAATCCTTTATCTGCAGTGACACCGAAAAAACACTAGGGTGCACACAGCACATGTGTTTTACAAAGCTCTTCAGGTTACCCAACTCACTGTACCCTGGGTAAAAAATTTTGTCACCGGTGTGGTTGACATAAAACATTATCTTCCCAAAACACATGTTCTCCGCTAACTATAAGCTGGGCACACAGTGAAGAACTGACTCATCATATAATGGCTTCTTTGTTATACTTTACAAAATGACTTGACATCTCCCACCGCCCCAGCCGTCCCCACCCCACCCGACACACACACACACACACACACACACACACACACACACACAGAGAGAGAGAGAGAGAGAGAGAGAGAGAGAGAGAAAGAGAGAGAGAGAGAGAGAGAGAGAGAGAGAGAGAGAGAGAGATTGTTTTAAAATCTTTCTAGTTCTCATTAAGAAAATGGTTTTAAAGGTACCTCCAACTTCTGAGATAATAAGAGGCACTGTAAAAGGGATCGTGGGGCAAACGAAAACTTCAAAACTAGTATCACATTTTCAAAGTGGAAAAAAACAAAACTCCAGTGTCACAAAACTATTACAGGAGCTGAAGGAAACTAATTCACTTTCAGCTTTTTGTTCCAAAAAACGAGTTAAATATGCACAAAACGGGAGGTCGGGATTCTCTTCGAGCTGACCTCCCACAGAAAGTAACCTAAAATCACAGCGCTACAGAGCCCGACGCTATTCCAACCTGATGATCATTTAAATCTCCAAGGCAACTGTGTGCCTACTCTGCAGGGAGAACCGAAACACGGGAGACACGAAGCGGCCCTAAAAGTAGAGCAGGGCTGCAAGCTAGGGCAGGCAGACCCCAAGCAACGAGCGGCTCCCCCAGGAAGCCTAGCTGCCCTGCAGAGGCCCGACGCGCGCTCTCGAGCTGCGTTAAGGATACCGACGGCGAGCACCTTGCCCTCCAGCGACTCCGGGCTGACCCGGCGTCCGGAGCACTCCAGCAGCTTCCACAGCCCCTGGACTCCCATGGCGCAGGCGCGCAGAGGTGGCCTCGCAGGCCCCCTGCTTCAAGACAGAACCGAGGTAGCGCCGACCGCCAGCCGACAACACTCACGCAGACCCCACCTCTCTCCAGCCGGAATCGCTGCCACACGGGCTCGAAAAAGAGAAACACCGCGCTGAGGCACTTCCGGTGAGGACCTGGCCTCCGAGAAGAAAAGCGAAACTTAAACATGGCGGCGGTGAGAGGGGCAGGGACTCTTCAGCCCAAAAGTTGGCACGTCTAACAGAACCAGAACTAAGGACCGGCGCGGGCGACACAAGCACCCAACTCCTCCTGTGGAGCTTGATTTTTACCGGGAGTGAGGGTCTCGCGTTGACGCGTGACGTATAAATCCTGCGCCAGAACGCTTCGGATGTCGGTACAGCCTTGCAATCAAGGGTCTCGCGTTGACGCGTGACGTATAAATCCTGCGCCAGAACGCTTCGGATGTCGGTACAGCCTTGCAATCAAGTGTCAACGCCCCTTACCTGAACCATACAATTACCATGTATTCAGGACAGAATTCATGTTGAATTCAAAATTCACATGTTGAGCACATAATTCCAAGTACTTCAAAATGTGCTTGTATCCAAACTGATTTTTAAAAGTGATTTTCTAAAACAATGAGGCCATTAGGGACCTAAGGGTACAGGAACCAGAATTTAGCAAATCCATTTCCGTGCCTAACATAGCCATGATAAACAATAGAACACAAATATGCAGACATGTTTGAGTCCATAGATTTGATTCCACCACCACCACAAACAGAGAGACTATCGGTAGCCTCTAATCCAGTATGACTATTAACCTTTTAAGGGAGTTGGAACACAAACATGAAGAGGTCCGCAAAGGAAAGTCTATATAGGAGAATAAAATGGATGAGCACCTGCAAGTCTAAGAGACAAAAAAATCAAACTTGCCAAGGCACTGTAGTGATCTACAGAACTGTGAGGAAAGAAACTTGTTTTGAAGAACCCCCGTTGCTGGTATTTTATGATAGTTCTAACAAACCAAGATTCTCTATAACCCTGGAGAAGTTGATTCACCAGTGAGAGCCTCCTTTTTAGCTGACATGTGTGTTAGGGATTCTGAATTTATATGTGAAACACATAATAAGTGGTTCCATGAAGATTAAGGGTACTATTATTTCATTAAGTGGAAGATGGGCAGAGTAGAAATGCTAAGAGTGAAATGAGTTAAATAATATAGATCTTGGAACAGTTGCCTGAGCTCATCCCATGTGTGGAACAAAGCAACTTGGGAAACATTACAGGCACTACACAAGCTTGATATGATGGGATATAGCACTGTAATGGGTGTAGTAGTAGATAGAGGAATCATTGCTAGGTTTTTTTTTTTTTTTAAGAGCTGGATTAAAAAACAAAGCCCATGTGTCTATTTGAGTATTAAGCATGCTTTTAAAGCCACAGCAATGTGTTTTGAATATGAAATGTTTTTGAAGGAATAACAACCAAGGAGTGTATATTTGATATAACAGATATTTGCTCTTTTCAAGGTCTAATGGGTTCTATGAATTAATCAATTAAAGCACATTTACAAAATAATAATTATAACAAATATCTTCCAACCACTATGCTAAATACTACACACAGTACGATATTTGTTCTCTAAAACCACTATCAAAGAGGACATCATTTCACAGATGAAATTATAGCAATTTCAGAGCCAATTGGTATCCTTCATTAGAAGACCTATGAAGATCTCTAAGGGTTGACTAAGATATCAAATAGAGCTGGAATTTTACTAATTTGCGAGGAGAATTATAAAGGAACTCTTACCTACATACCCTGAAAAAAAAAGAAAAAAAAACTCTTGCACTGAACCCAAACATTACTGTGCTTTAAGTGACTTCCAAATTTGTAAGATGAAGTTTTAGGTGATCATGTGTCAATCACTGTTTTTATAACGCATATGATCAATATGCAGGAAATAAACTCTTCCTATTGTCCCTGCTGTATACATTTTATTTTGTATTTTTATCCTTTTGTCTTGGTTCTTCAAACCCATTTCTTTGAAATACTCAACCTATTAAAAAACAGCTTATATTTAAAACACACTTGATTCACAAAAATTTCAACCTCATTTTGTTCAAACTAATATAAGAAATTTTCTATTCCCTGTCATGAAGTGTTAAGAGAACCAGTACCCAGGTACTTGAGAAATAGCAAGTATAGAGTAGAAGTCATCACCTTCCACATTGTTTCACTGATTATTAAAAACTACAAGATATTTCTTATTACATGGAATTGACAAATTATCATATACACACAAATACAAGAATATTCCCTAGCAAAAATACACACTCATTAACACTTGCATGATTAAAAGTAGAAAACAAAACTTTATTTGATGAAAACATTTTAAAAGTTCCAGTATGAAGTAACAAAAATCAATAACCTACAAATCATTCATTCCTTTGCATTTCAAGCTAAATAATCTCTTCAGAAATATGACCATTTTGTAATATATATATACCTTTCTGTAGGCTAGACATGTATGAGTGGATAAATGGATATAAAATTCAAGAAAAAATGAAAATTTTTAAAAATAAAAATCTGAAACGTCCCCTTGAGGTGTATTGCAATATGTTCCAACATACCCAGCACCTTGCACCAAATTACTGATTTGAGTCCTGGAATGAGCTTATTACACGAAAGAACAATATCCTAGAATTCTGTGAGTCACACATTGGCAGCAAATAGAAAAACGACAGAAAATAAAGACAAGCTCAAGTATTGAATTCACACTTCTAAAATATTTAACACATCCTTCAAACAACTAATTGTTTGGATGTTTCACAAAAGGAAATGGCTCAGAGTTGAGAATACAATAGTGTTGTCCTCAGAGTGACCTAGACATTGCCAATGTGTCTTCAGTACTGTTGTTAATACATGACTCCATTAAGAGACCAAATAGCAAATCTCACTGCACATATTGCATGGATATAGAAACTTTGGATTCCAAGTGCTCTTTAGCTATATCTCTAAAACAAGGTTTGTTCTAGACCTGAAGACATCATTCAAGACCTATACTTCTTGTAACTATTTCATAGCCATGTGCCAAACCAAGGGAATCAGAATCAATGTCGTAAGTCACCTGCCTATATGTGGAGAAAGGTCAGTTTCTTGAGTATTTTCTGTTTTTTTGTTGAGAATCCTGAGACAGTTATTTGGGAAAGCTAAGAGGTGAAATGAATACTGCTAGCACTGAAAAAAAAAATAACTAGATTGGCAAGATAATTTTAAATGAGTTTTAACATGAACAAAAGCTACAATTTTAAAAAAACCCATTTTTTTTAAGGGAAGACAGTGACTTGCAAATTGGTCTTGGGAATCAAAGTATCTGTAATAAATGACTGGGGATCAAGTTTCAAGAAATCACTCCATGTTTTAATAGTTCAAGTTTTGATGATGTTAAATGCATTTGTATCTTTGTTTTGAAGCAGTTGTGATTTTATTGGATTTTGTGAAGCCCCTTGTCCAGATTGTTTATCTACTTTTAACTTTTAAAGAGCAGTAATCTGTGCCTACCTGCCTATAAATTTGAAGCCATCCGTTGTAACACTATGTAAGCTTATTTACTGAAGAACTACAGGTTATGCTTTGTACCACAAGATCTGATTCTATTGATAGACTTAATAAAACTATCCTCTGCCTTAATGCAGTCCTGTACATAACAGCTGTGTGGGTAATACCAGTGGTTCAGTTCCCAGGATGGTCAGTCATTGCCATTGTAATCACTGTAACTGTGGTAGCCACTATTCCTTCTCTCATTAATACTAGACATCTTCTTCCATGCTGAGTCCTGATGGAAGCTAGCACTGAAGGACCTGCCCAGACGCCCATGCTGCTTCTTGGAGATATTGTCTTCACTCTCAGATTTGGCAATTCCTTGGGCATGTGTGGGAGGCTGTGATTCTTGTCTAATGGTTCCAAATGGAAAGTTCCAAAAGCCAAATCTTTGCCAACTGAGTCTCTGGAATGCTATGATACAATGCAAATTTCCTCCAACCTGAGAAGGACAAAAGAAAAAAGGATGAAGACAATAAAAAAAAAAAAAATACTCACCGGGCAGTGGGGGTGGGTAGGGTGAGGGGTGGGGTGCATGCCTTTAATCCCAGCACTCGGGAGGCAGAGGCAGGTGGGTCTCTGTGAGTTCAAGGCCAGCCTGGTCTTCAAAGAGAGTTCCAAGACAGTCTCGAAACCTACAGAGAAGTCCTGTCTCCAAAACAAAACAAAACAAACAAAAATAAGTTTCTGGGGTCTTCGTTGACTCCCTTGGGATGATGATGTTGTTCTTTTAGATGTCTGGAAACACTTTTCTATTCTGCATTCATCAGAGCACATTAACATACTCAGCTTTCCTGACAGCTGTCTTTACAATATAACAAAGTCTTTAGGGGACACAGTACTCCTCTTACAGACTAGACTCAGTATAGTCATGGCCTCATACACCTAACACACACTAAGATCATGCCTTACCCTTTTCTCTGTGTGTGTTCTCTCTCTTCTCCTCTCCTCTCCTCTCCTGCCCTCTTCTACTCCTCTACTCTTCTCTCTTCTCCTCCCCTCCCATCCCCTCCTCTCCTCAAAACTCATCCTATTCCCCCCTCACGTGTGTGAGCGAGTGTGTGTGTGTGTGTGTGTGTGTGTGTGTGTGTGTGTGTGCAGACAAAAATCTCTATATCTCAGGCTGGTGTGGAAATCATTATCCTCCTATCTAAGAACTGAGATTACAAGCATGTGCCACCACACCCAGTTTCATTTATTTTTTTATCAACAGGTTTATAGCAAAAGGATATCTACTCAATTTATACTATATCTGCTTCTAAGAGCTGCTTTCTACGGCCATGTCTGTACACATGGCTCTGCCTTGAGATCATAATTTACCCAAGTTGGGCCAAGACTATCAAACTCAACCAAGGCAGGTAAGTTTCAATCTATACCTGAAAATAAGTCATAAATTGAAAGTTAGTCTGCAAGAAATGCATATTCAAGTAAAGCACTGTGAGCACAACATGATTAACATACTGAGCCACTTGGCTTCTACCATTACTGCAGTACTGGGTGTCATTTCCTTAAGACCATCCTCCTTGGCCTGGAATTTAAAGTTAGCCTGTGTCCTTAAAATAAGTCTTACTTTTCTGACTAAGGCTGTTAGAACCTGATTTCTGTTATTTACCACTGCATTTTGGTCATTTGGGAAGTGGCTTCCAATGTAGTAGTGTTCTTACCTTCTTTGTTTTCCGGAACTGCAGCCCTCTTTCTAGATGACGGATATCTAAGAATTCTGGATTTTGAGTGTTTAGGTCAGTGACAATATCTGCCCATCTACAGTAAGAAAAAGGACAGCTTTCTTTAGGCCCAAAGTATCACTGTATTAAAGCTTTTTCCAAGAGCAAGTAGCCACAATATATTACAACAGTAATCGATGATTATTCTTTTAGGTTGCATTATCCCATCCACTAGCTTTTAAAAGCTTCTCTTTCTGTGACAGATGTGGTTATCCAATTCCTGTCAATGTACTCAGTTTATAATTTGTTTCTATTCTTACATACCAACATACCAAATAATATCTTGCAGGCTAAAGCAGTGGCATGCCACATTTTCTATTATAATCAACTCAATTTATTTTCTCATGGTGGGACATGGGGTGGGATTGTATATGTTATACAAGCTGGCCTTGAACCCCTTGGGTCACATGATCCTTTTGCCTCGTTTACTAATATGTCACTATGTGTCTAGTTAAATTTCTGAAAGAATTCAATAATAATCTTTCCACTAATGTACAAAAATGGTTGTGGGGAAAAATCAAAGGATATACAAATATATACAAATAACAGGTAAATTTTGTAGAGAAGTGAAAATCAAGGTCTAAATGGGAAAATCGGGAATTTTTAAAACTATGACCAGCAATAACTTGAAAATGAAATTTTTAATCAATCTATGATATGGAGAGCTATCTAAAGGACATGTGTGATTTTATACTGAAATATCGAAAGAAGTTATGATTATGTGGTGATACAGTTCCTTGATGTTAGTTTGTAATATTCCATGTCATTATGACGTTATTTCTCCCTAAAGTAAACCATGAATTCTAAAGATTCTATCAGTCTGTGTGTATGTACAGGCAATAGAGAGAGGACATGGGGGATAGATAGACAGACAGACAGACAGGGAAGGGGGGAGGGAGAAGGTGTACAGGCACATGGCATGTACATGCCACAGTGGATGTGTGGGGCTTGGAAGATGACTATCAGCAATTGGTTTTCTCCTTCTACCCTGTGGATTCCAGGAACCAAACTTAGATCATCAGGCCTGCATGCAAGCAAGCACCTAAATATGCCAAGACACATCACCAGTCCTAAAAATTTATTTTAATCAAATATGCACCAGGATTTTTGGCAGAAATAATCTAATTCTAAATATTTAGAGAATTTTTGTTGTTGTTGCTGTTCAAGACAGGGCTTCTCTGTGTAGCTCTGGCTGTCCTGGAACTTGCTTTGTAGACCAGGCTGGCCTTGAACTCACAGAGATCCACCTACATCTGATGGGACTAAAGGTATGCACAATCATGTCCAACTTGAAAAGAAATTCTTAGTATGTTACTTAAATGGAAAAGCAAGACAAAAAAAAAAGATAGAATTTCATCTGCATAAAATTCCCAAACAGGAAACAGAACTGTCTGGCTATAGGGCTAGAGAGAAATAAAACATAGCAGATTTTTTTTTTTTTTTTTTTTTGTGGCAGGGTTGCACTGTGACTGGCCAATGACCACACAGATGTGCACATATATCTGCATGCATCTAGTTAAAACTATTTTGGTCTGTGATTTCAGTGAAAGGAATATTACACAAATTAAAGAGAAAAATAAAAGCTACTAAAACATACCTTTTACAGTGAATAGCAGGATGTTTTCTACTTGACTCTCCAATTAAAATCCAATATTCTACTTCCTGTGGTGAGAGAGGGCCCCTGCTAAACAGAAAATACATTCACAGTCAGCTTGATAAATGGCATTCACTTCCCAAAATGTGCTGTTCCAATTATGTATTGATAAAAACCAAAACAAACAAACAAACAAAAAAAAAGCACTAAAACTAAAGAGATGGCTACCAACATTTTGGTTTGGACCATTCAAGAAATCCTTGAATTAGATTTAAGCCTTAGTTATTTCCATATTCAAAATGGAGGGTCAAAATGTTTTAATGGATTACCCCCTGTTTCAGAGGGGAGAACATCCTAAGCAACGCCCTTCACCTATTCTTTTTATCATGATGCATCCAAGTTTGTAGCAGCATCCTAAAGTGACAATGGCCTAGAGGTAGGGGATGATGATTTTAAACAATGTTCCAGTCTCACTCCTGGAAATTCTAATTCAAGTCTGAAAAGGAGCCTGGAGATTTGCATAATTTTCAAGAAAAAAATTAAAATGGTTCATAGGCACAGGTATTCACTGGTGAAGAACTCCGGCAGTTAACAGAACAAAGCAATAAAAGTCAAAGCCTGTTTTGCATTTGGTAGGTACCTAAAGAAAGGGAAAGTCATATGTCAAAATCATAAAAGAAATATAACAGTGCCCCTTACTCTACAAAATGGACAGAACATTTCAGGAGTTGACAGAAAGAGCAGTTTTTTGGTTTTATTATTATTGTTGTTGTTGTTATTATTATTATTATTATTTTAACATTTATACATTTATTTGCACATATAACAAAGAATAAGAGACCATGAATTTTAAAGGGAATAGGTAAGGGGAGGAGTATAGGAAGAGTTGATGGGAGCAGAGAAAATGTAATTATACTTTAATTAAGTTTAAATCTTTTTAGAATAAATAAATCTTTAAAATTATATGCAAATAAAAAACATAAAACACATTTATCATATTGACCATAATGGCTATTCTTGGTTGTCAACTTAACTATATCTGGAGTTATCTAAAGCACCCAAAATGGAGGGGTACTCCTATGATGGACTTTCCCTCAGAAAGAGCAGTTTTACTCTTGCTCCTCATATACAAGCAGTATTCAGCCTTTCAGGTCCTCCAGCTTCTGCTAACCTGGCTCAGGTTCCCTGATGTACCATATCCAAGGACCTTTGAGTGGAACTTCATGGACCCATGGTCTCCAGAACAAAAGAAAAGTGAAGAAAAGAAAAGAAAAGCAACAACCACAAATAAAAATAAGCCCTCCTATCCTAAAGGCCAAGCCCTGTTCTCCAGCCAGACTCTAGGCTCTCACTGAAGAGATAACTTCTGAAATTCACCCCATCTCTTCCTCCTCAGTCAGCAAGCCCATGAAGTTAAGTGTTGACCAGAAAATAAGTGGGATGAAAGAGTCATGCATGGCTTCCCTTTTCAACTGTTCTCAACTGTAATCTCTGCTGTCAGGTCCCTCAAGAAGGAACTTACTAAAGAGAAAGAGTAGCATTCAAACTCAGTGCCCTTGTTTAGAATATATCTCCTTCAAAAGACAGTTCTTCCGTGTGTGTGTGTGTGTGTGTGTGTGTGTGTGTGTTTAGAGGCAAATATAACCATGAAGTTTGGTCCTGAACATCTTTCAACAAAAAAGAACTGACAACCCTACTTTTTAATGTACTTAGTTGTGCACTCATGGAGGACACTGGGGATTTTTTTTTTTTTTTAACAAAATCTCAATCGTTCAATTTTTTCAATAAAGACTCAGGAGCCAGATGCTAGGGTCAAAGCTGACAAGTTCAGAAAGGCAGAAAAAACACCCAGCTGACCTTCTTCCTCAACCATCCTCCAAGAAGCCTCTCCTCTCTCCTAACAGTCTCCAACAAATCTCCAAATCAATATCCCTCCCTTCTACTTCCTGTGTGTCTATCCATTCTCCTCACTCCTTACACTCTATGGTTACTTCCTGTGAACTTGTTTATTGCTTGCCTACTGACTTATGAAATGTTGTTTTTATTTAATCCTGTTTACAATAAGCGGAAAGGTGTGTGCTGGAGCAGGGCCATATCAGAACCAGAAACAGTTTTTTCCAGTAAATAAGGAAATCTTGGGGTTCACAGTGTAATAGAATATTTTACAATAGGAGCTAGCATGTGAATGTCCCCACACCTTTATATAATAGTCGTGAAAGTGGCCGTTCAGATGGCTTTCTCTTATAATGACTGAGCATCAGCTTCTAAGTGCATCAGTCCTGCAAAACATATGCACACTTGGTGTGAACAAAACACACCAACTTCCCAATTTCTAAGAATCTAGAACCTGTTTAATTCTTGAAAGCATTTTGTACAATACATTTTCCTAGTTAAGTGCCCATATCAAATGTGGAAATGCTTACCTGAATGCCTTATTAGCTTTAACAGGGGTTGCTTCAAAGCCAATTGGACAAAAATAATGATTTTGGCAATGATAGATATAAGCCAATGACTCATCTTTCAATCCTCGGGTCAACTTTGACAAGGCCCCTGGAGCTACAAAAGACAAAACCAGGCAAACTGAAGGCCATAAAGCATTGTCTATATTTTACACAGAGGACTAGTTAAGACACATTTGGAACACCCTGACATTCTGAGTTCCAATAAAGAATGAGAAGCTACCAATATGGGTAAAAATATAAATGAATTTACTTTTAGTTTTAGATAAACTCAGCAGCAAAACTAGTGAAACATATCCGTGCTTACCAGGCCTTCCTAAGAATACACCAAGTTGTCTACGAAATTCATTGAGTGTGTAAGACCCAGTAACTATACACAATCAAGATCTCAACTTTTCTGACTTTGGACATCTGTCACTAAGCTTCTGAATCAGCATGCCTCATCTGTCTATAAACTCCAGACATACAAACTAAGTCTACAAAAGATTTACAAAGAAACATGAAATTAGATTAAATTATAGGCATCCTAATGTCTACATGTAGTGTATACATCCCAACTTAAAACTGACTAATATATATGAATAAATACAAACTCTAAGTAAAAACAAGCTACAATAATGGTGTACAAGCACATACACACACACACACACACACACACACACACACACACACTCTCACACCTGCCACAAATTAAAACACACATTATCATTGTGTTAGCTAGTTTTGTGTCAGCTTGACACAGCTATAGTCATTTGAGAGGAGGGAACTTTGACTTATAAAATACTTCCATAAATTTTGGCTGTAGGCAAGCCTGGAGAGCATATTTTTTAAATTAGTGATTGATGTGAGGGGGCCAGCCCATTATGGATGGTGCTACCTCTGGGCTGGTAGTTCTGGGTTCTATTAAAAAGCAGTCTGAGAAGGCCATAAGGATCAGACCAGTAAGCAGCATTTCTCCATGGCCTCTACATCAGTTCCTGCTTCCAGGTCCCTGCCCTTTTCGAGTTCCTGTCTTGGCTTCCTTCAATGGACTGATTCAGGACATACCAGCCATCTCCCCAAGTTGCTCTGGTCATGGTTTTCATCACAGCAATAGAAACCCTAACTAAGATAATTGTCTTTCTACATACATCACACAGATCAAAGGCATCAGTTTTGCAGTCAGGTTCAAGTTCCATGACAACTGTTTCTCCTGATCTGTTGCCCGTCACAGTAATAGTTGTCAAGTGATTTCAAAAGTATTAGCATAAGAAACAAGTCTTTATCAGCACTCAGTACTCAAAGCCATTAACTGAGGTTTCATTAACTTGCATTCCTGGAAGAAATTAAATTATTCATTAACAAGTAGTCCATTAAAGATGGAAACCCTAAAAGCCTGAATGGTATGTTCACAGTGATGGACTTTCTGGCTACTAAAATAGCTACTGACCACCAAGAACTGCCAGTCGTATCTGCAGCAGCTCCCTGACTGCCTACGTGGGCAGGGAGTGGGGCTCTGCCAAACTGCATGCTAACATTTCTGGCTCTACTCTGAATGTACACCACAGTATTCCAAACAGACTTTAACTTTCTGGCACAGACTCGGTGGGGAGGAGTGGGGGGGGTATCCTCTCTACTAAAACCCTTACTTCTCAAGGATGAATAATGGTCAGCCATGCTGTAGGTTTGCATTGTATTTGTGCATACTTTAAAAACTGACACATGGGCAGATTAGATGAAGAGTTTTAAAAATAAATTCAGTACAGTCTTTTGTTTTATTTCTATAAACAAATATGATTGTACATAGTTTCCAGGTGGTGAATTAAGGTAAAATGCATAACTTTACTCTTCATACGCTCAAACATTGTAAAAGATTCTATAACCACCATTGTTTTAGAAAAACATCTGAAATGTTTTTTAACTGTAAAAACGTCCAATGACATTTGGATAACTGAAACTTTTGTTTTTCAATGAGACTTGAACTTGAAGCCTTTAGACATGACAGGCAAACTCTTTACCATTGAGTACATTGTTGGCTCTGATAATTTGCTGTTTTTTTAGACAGAGACTCATTCTGTGTCCCATGTACTAACCAAGCCAGACCGTGCTTAACTTCTGAGATCAAACAAAAGTGGGCTCTTCCATGGAGGTATGGCTGCAAAACAGAGCCTTACTTTGTAGGTCAGGCTTGCCTGAAACACAACATGACGCCCCAGCTGGCCTTGTATGCAAAACAATCCTGATGCCTCAGAGCCTCCTGAGTTCTGGGACTACAGGCATTGAGCCAATATGCCTGCAGCCCAGACATATGCAATAAAAGAGCAGTGGTGGTACATGCCTTTAATCCCAGCACTAGGGATGTGGAGACAGGTAGATTTCTGTGAGTTCGAGGCCAGCCTAACCTACTAAGTAAGCCCCAGGACAGTCCAAGCTACACAGAGAAACCCTGTCTCACACACACACACACACACACACACACACACAAAGGAAGAAAGAAAAGAACTTTCATTATAAATGCAATACAAAACTTCAATAGTGCAATAGTGCTGTCATAACTACTTTAATGTTCCAGATTATATTCAGGAAGAGGAAATGGATGAGAAAGTCTGCTCTCCTTGGCACTCACATCATTTTGTCTGCTGCAAGTACTCTTTACCATGTCCTACTTTTCCAGAAGCCATGAGGTGGGTTTTCTTCTATGGGATAATGTTTCTAGTTATTACATATAATATATAGCATCTATACACATGATTTCTAATAAGAGGATGTTTTTCTATTTTCCCCAGGGTACATAACATTCTTCTGATGATTTCAAGATCTGCAAATTAATTCTTAAAGCAGAGCTGTTAAAGCCAAAACAGGGCATGAGGAGTTCTGCTGCACTCTCCCCCTGTCCCACCAAGGTTCATCCTCAGGTCTCAAGTGCACACAATTATAAAATGACTGAATCTTGCCAGGCGGTGGGTAGTGGGTTCCCCCGTCAATGGTCTAGTTCCTCCAGTTCCTCATAACTTATTTGTACAGTGACTGGATGGATATAAATGCTCTTGTCCAGTTTCCTCATGGACTAGGTAGGATACGTTAGGATGGCAGGCACTGGGTCCCTCTGATTTCTTTTACTTCAGCTTAAATTTCCTATAATATATTGCCAGTCTTCTATTTGTAGAGTAGAATACACCTTTGATGTTGAGGCTAATCTCTAATCCCTATCACAATGACCTATTATTACAATTTTGAATAAAGTCTCCCATTTCAAAGAGAGTAAAAAAAGTTTCTTCTTTAACAGTACCTTACAGCTGTCTGCTCCACAAAATTCAAAGTTTATCATGACAACTGAAAAGTCAAAATCATTAAACAATACAAGTAATTCATCTATTTTATAATAAATAATCCTTAAGACCAACTTCATTAATATGTCTGTTAAAACCAAGTCTGTTTTACAACAGTGTTGTCATGTCACAGTTTGTTACCCTATAGTTTTGTGTTATCATTTGATGCCGGATCATTTGATGCCAGTCCAGCATCAAATGTCCTCCAATGCTTTCACTGTATGTTAAATGAACTGCAAATTCCATGATTTATCCTAGAAGTTTTACTGTCAAGCACACACATGCATAACAATGTTAAACAATACAAGCAAGTATCAAGATCATTGTTTATAACACGCCTTAAATTTACAAAGTGCCCTACAGATTACTATCATGATTTTCCCCTTATATAAAGAGGTATGAAAACATCAAACTATTGAGAGTTGATGTCCTAAGAAACAATATAGACAACTTCTGAGATATATTCAACTTGAAAGCTTGAACTTAGGTGGGGTGAAGTTCAGTTTCACCTACCTGTCTCTCCAGCTGTTTTGTTCTTCCCATGGGGCTTATATAGAACATAAGAACATCCTTTTACATGGAAGTGGTCATTAATTTGTCTAAACCATCTGAAAGTAAGAAGATGTGCTTATAGCAATAGTTTCATAACAAGGAAGGTCCACTGTTCTAATTGTACAGAAACCCAAGCACAGCCCACACACAGCATATCTAAGGGAACCTGGGACCCAGCACCAAAGTCCGTCTTTTACTGTCCACACACACTACAACATTACCACTTCACAGAATTCAAAATAAGAGGTTGTCTCTAAGGAGCAACTCCGTACCTCATGAGTGTTGTATTTCCAGTGAAAGGGCCAAACCTAATATCTTCAAATGGGGGTTGGAAGCCCAAAATATGTAATGCATCTTCTTGGGTAATAGGTGGGAGACTACAAAAGAAACATTTCCTTTCATTTTACAGTTCCAGTCATACTCAAATACAATCTGCCTCAGTGTTATTATACAGGTTTAGCTTGGAAATAGTTTTAGCAGTGTTTTTCATATTTATTTTACTGAAAAGAACACATGCAAATATTTTAAGCTAAAAGGCTTAAAGCAACATGCACATTTTTTTCCTCAGGTTATAAAAAAATCTACTCTCAAAGTCTTCCATTATTAAAAAAAAAAAAGGTACCTTCTTTTTTGTTGGTTTTTGTTTGTTTGTTTTGTTTGTTTGTTTGTTTGTTTGTTTGTTTTTCTTGAGCCAGGTCAACCTATGTAGCCCTGGCTATTCTGAAACTCACTATGTAGACCAGCATGACCTCAAATTTACCGAGATCTGCCTGCCTCTACTTCCCAAATGCTAGGATTAAAAATATGTGCTACCATACCCAGTTTCCTTCTAACTACTTTCAAAGATGGAGTTTGATAATAGCAATAACCTGGCTTACTTACTTCCCAGCTCCCATTGTGCTGTATAAGAAATTCCAACAAGAAATTAATGAGGAGATACCACATGAAGTCTTATATTGTGGCCGGCTTATGCAGTACCTAAGGAATCAAACAGTTTCTTCACTCAAATGAATACCAAACAAGAAGAACAGAAATATCATTTTGTGGATGATTTAAAATGTGATCATGAAACAAACTTTAATGCAGTATAAAATTATTCATTTAAAATATTTCTTACTTACTAAACACAATACAGACAGTAAAAATCATCTATTTTATCAAGAAGAGCTGCATTATGGCTAGCAACCTACTAAAGCACATTTTATTCAAACCAAGAAAGGAATTATTGGTATATAAATTCTGATATCAACTACTCAAATTTCTATGTGAATGCGCAGTTGAGTGGGTACTTTGCCACTTCTCAAATACTAGAGAAAGAAAGCAAATCATTTTCCCTTCGTGTCAAGAGGTTCAGAAATTTTTCTACTCAGACCAAAGAACATCCCTTTATTACCCACCACATCAATATGAATGCCTGGGCAGGGAACCTCAGAGCAGAGCTGTCACTGAGGATTTAAAAGGAAAACACAAAATCCCCCAGAGAGAGAGACAGAGACAAAAAGGGAAAGATAGATATTCTAAATTGAGACTAAAGGGCCATGACAAGCAAGCACAAATATGGTTAGCTTTTAGAACATTTCTAGGAAATGATAGTTTAGTCGGGAAGTTATACATAAAAGAAATAATAGGTGTGGCAATAAATATGGTACCAGTCATTTCTTTGAAAACTCAACAAAGAACAACCAGCCAAACTTAAGTATCATCCAAAGTAGCTTACCAGTGGGAGGATTCACAAAATGAGACTGATGGCCAGGTGAGTCTAGGAAATACCGGCCCAGCTCAATTAGTCTACTTCCAAAATCTGAGATATACCTAAAGTACTTAGACACAATCTTAGAACTAAAGGTGTTCATAATAAATATAATTTATTACCTTACACCCAGAAAACTTAATGTCAAATTAGCTATTTTTTAAGAATAGAGAGTAAAAACTGACATGGCCACTTACCATCGTCTGAGGTCTAACACTTTCCGCTGCTTAACATCCTCGAGAGCAGGATACTGAGGACACTCCCTCTGATGCCGCCCTTTTTTATCTGAAGCTTTTTTCTTAGAAATTTGTTTCTTTGCGCTGCCTACAGTACACAAGAATGAAACGGGGAAAATGCTCAGATGAAATAAAGCACCACACCAGAAGGTAAAACAGAATTAGAGAAGAACTGCTAGGCTTTCTGAAAACAGTATTTGCAACCACCCCGAAGTAATGTCTGTGATTTCAATATAGTACTCTTCCCTAGAAAGACAGCAAGAAGAGAATTAAAAACAATCTGAACCACCAGAAATGTTTCCCTATCAAGATCATACCCAAGTCCAGAGCTAGTCTCTTAGAGCTGGTAAAATAAGCAGGCCAAAAATCTTTAATCACATCTACAACTTCATGTTATCAACAGGAAAGAGTTAAACTTGACCACTTTGCTGAAATGGAATCCTTTCTATAAAACAGGAAAACCCAATTAACATAATTCTATTAAGACATGGATCATGCATGATGACATTCTGTCTAATAATAACTCCAGGCCCCAGAGACTTCAAGATGAATTTAGAGTGAAGCATGTGTTACATTATTAAAATAAAATGCTGCACTAGGAACCAGAATGCAAAACATGGTGTCCTTTGTATGTGCCCCACTCACACACAAGCACACACACACACACACACACACACACACACACAATATTTTTCCAAAGACATGGAATGACTGCCCACTGGGGAGGGAGAGATATGGAAAATGGACAATAGAGGCAAAAGTGAGAGGGAACATTTGCCTTGTTTAACTTTGATACATTCATTTATTGATGAACCATGTTGATATTTTATCCACTCAAAATAATATACATATTAAAATATTAATAATGCACCCAGCTGATTTTGTTAAAATGCTAACATTCCTTTCAGCTATACTCAGTTACGTTAATATCTACCTGACATCATCTATTTTAAATGAAATAATCAAATCTCATACAAAAATTAATTAAGGTTAATATTTTATTTTTGTGTTATTAAACACAGATTATGTAGACATAATACATGTTTACAGACTCATGGCAGGAAGAAAGAAATGTCAAAGTAGAAGCTAGAATATAACATACAAAATGACCTTTGTCCACTACTCTGTACCATTACCCTATCCTTTCTTTCCAAACCTACCCACAAAACACTCACATAGCCCTTTCCCATTACACACATGCATTAACTACCCTGGAACGAAAATAAAGGAAAACACAGAGCAGTGTGTAATGTAATGGCATGCACCTGTAATTCCAGTACTAAAAAATACTGAAGCAGGGAGATTAAGAATTATAGACGAGGTGGGGAGTATGGGGGGGAAGCTGGTTTAGCAGTTAAGAGCACTGGCTGCTCTGCTCTTGCAGAGGACTTGGGTTCAGTCCCACATGGTGGATAACAACCATCTATAACTCCAGTTTCAGGATAACTCCAGTTTTAGGATCCACCATGTTCTTCTAGCCTCTGAGAATATCAGGCATATGAATAGGACACAGACATCATGTAGGCAAAACACCCATACACATCAAATAAAAATAAAATAAAAAAATTTAAATGAAAATAATTACAGGCCAGACTGGAGTACAGAGCCAGACTGCTGTCTCCAGAATATAGAGAAGGGGGAGAGGTAGCAAACAAAGGAAGGAAGAAACACCATTGTTTTTCCTTACAGAAACACAAGACAGAATCCTGAGCAACAACCATCAAATGAGGTAAGAAGGAACCTGAAAACAGTAAAGTTACCAAAGAGAGGCCCAAATTCTGTGTGTAAATGTGGCCTAAACCTTGTTCTAATACCTGGACCACACATGCACAGAGCAGACCCCAAGAAAGACAGCCAGGACTAATAGCCCAATCCAAGAACAGATTTGTCTTTAAAAGACAAAGATTGCAGATTCAGGTCAATCAGAAACAGAGATACAGAAAGAGAGACAGAGAAAAAAGAGACAGAGACAAAGACAGGGACAGGGAGGGAAGAAGAGAGGAGAGTGAGATTGATTGATTGCTTGCTTGCTTGCTGCTTGCTTGCTTGCTTGCTTGCTTGCTTGCTTATATACCAGAGTTGATACAACAGGACATCCAGGACACAATCCAAAATGATAAAGTGTATGAGAAAGCTAAGAAATGATAAGGAAAAGATAAGGCCAATTCTGACCTAACCCATATTTTAAAATCTGCAGAATTTGAAGTATGTATTATAACTGTGCTAGGTATAGATAAAATGTTCTAGTAATAAATGATGACACCATGGCTCTGGAAGTAAGAAACAAAGGCTGTAAAGCAATGTAACTTCTACATCTAAAAGTAAAGAATGGGAAAGGAGGTGCCACACAAACAACAATCAAAAGAAAGCTGGAACAACTATGTCAATATCAAGTGGTTTTCATAAAGACAGTTAATGAAACACACGCTGTCTTAGTAAAAAGACATTTTTTTTTCACTGATGCAAGGTCTTGCCATGTGTCCTGGGTTAGCCTGGACCTCACTATGTGTGTATCCCTGGCTATCGTCAATCTCACCATCCTTATGCTTCAACCTCCAGAGTGTGGGAATTCCTGGCAAGTGCCACCAGGCCTGGTTAAAAGGGGTCAATTCTTGAAGAAAGCATAAAGATTGCACATGTGCGTTTTCCTAGTAACAGGGCTTCAAATCACAACAATGGAGAGTAGAGAGCACCAAGAAGCTGTCTTCTACCTAGGCAACAACTGCAATGGCAGGTGATATGCTGGAACTCTGGAGACTTCTGGAAGGGTGACACATTTTAAGGAAAGGACTGAAAAGAAGTAACACTTTATTTTGGTCAGTTTCATGCACAGCAAGGTAACTAATACTTATTCCCCCAAGCCACTGATCAGCAACTGTAAATGTTATTGGGTCACCTAGAGCATCGGGTTGGGCAAAGGGGATCAGGAGTGAAGAATGAGTCATCACTAAAGACCCTACAGATACTAAAGGAAAAGTATACCTTCAGGTTCCCAAATGGGACAACAAAATTATCAATAAGGAAATTCCATAATTATAGCTAGAAATGTTTACATCCCACTACAAACTCACAGAAAACAGGAGAAAGTACTCCCCAGCTTGTTTTAAGGGACCTGAATAGTACTATAAGCCCTAAAGCAAAATATTTTTTAGGAGGCCAATGCCTTATCCATTAGGCTACTGGGGCTCTGCAAAACATTAAAAAAAAAAAAAAAAAAAGACATACTGCACATAAATACTGGCACTAACAAAGCATGTCAGTCCCCCGAGGATTACAGAGTCACACAACAATCTCTGAAACAACTGACTTTGAAATGCACAAACAGACACAGTGGTTTTACTTAAAAAAAAAAAAAAAAAAAATCAGAGTGACTAGAAGCAAAATAAAAATCCTAGCTCTATCTGGTTGTACAACTTTGGGCAAGAGATTTATCCTGTCAATTTCTTCATCTATACAACAAGCACAGCACAGCAGCACATACTTCATGTACTCCCTGCATTACCATTAACTCAAGGGTGAAAACCGCACCCTAAGTGACACCATCCTCCTACATTCCAAGTACCCAGCCTATTCAGTGTAGATAGCGGACTTTCTTGGGTACTCAAATCTTGCTGTTGTCACTTTTTAAAGCAGATACTAAAAGGTATTTGTTTTTATTCCCAGTGATTTAGAATTCACGTCCATATTTTAGTAATTGTAATGAATATGTATTTCCATATCTATAACCATTCTTATTTCTACCTCTATCTTAATATATAACTACATAATAGTATACAAAATACATAAATATACACTAAATCTTAGATACAGAATGTTTGATTATATATTTAATCCTTATGTAGTCCTGTTAAAATTTTGCCATGACAAAGAATTCTATATTTATAGGTTCACTGTTATCTAAAACATTTTTTAAAGATTTATTTATTATGTATACAGTGTTCTGCCTGCATGTATGCCTGCACACCAGAAGAGGACACCAGATCTCACTGTAGATGGTTGTGAGCCACCATGTGGTTGCTGGGAATTGAACTCGGGAACTTAGGAAGAGCAGCCAGTGCTCTTAACCACTGAGCTGTCTCTCCAGCCCACTTGTTATCTAAAATTTAAAAGCAATTTAAATGCTTTATGACCCTGTTCATATTATCAACCAATTTAAGACAAGTATTTCTTAAGTTTGGCTTCACAAAAATGAATCAATTCCAGGTCTGATTGAAGAATGAACTTTCTTGCCATCTGGAAGTTTTAGAGCAACCACTAAAAAGGAGGGAAGGAGATGTCAAACAGGATCTTCTTTAACATTTGGAACAAGTAGTAAATGGAAAGAAATATAAACAGGTCCTTAGAAACATATGCATACATGTGAGAAGTAAAATGGACTTTAAAACACGGTAGCTACAAAAAAAAAAAAAATCAAGACTTTGATCAAAGCAGATATTCTTTTTGCATTCAAAGTTTTTCAAAACAAAATGTCTTAATATTGCCTACATTAGGAAATATGACCATGTCCCAGCAAAACTACAAAATAACAGTATTAATCTAGCCGTGTCATTAGCCTTTTCTAAGCTACTGTGTACTTATGCTTAATACTTACATTTTATTCTTTTTTTATTTTCAAAGCTCCCAAAATACACACATAATATGGGAAGTTTCCATGAGCAATATATTCAGGGACTAACTATGCCCAAGGTTATTTAAAATAAAGAAATAAAAAAAACTACAATGACAAACAACGATGGCAGTGATGCTCCTTGTGCAGCAACAAAAAATATTCTACTGGAAATGTAGCAAAACTTGCATTGTTTTCTGGTTGTTTTCACTTGTGAACTTCACAGCTCCTTCTTACCTGATTTGTGTTTCAAATTTGTGGTAACCCCATCAAATTCAGATTTATCAATTTCCCATGCGAGAGGTAGTTTGCCCAGGCTGGTGGATAAGTTTTCCAAGCTATTTTCTTCATTATAGATTATTTCTGATGCACTAGTTGGGATACCAATGTATCTTGAAGTACTTTCAGCAGAAAGCGAGGTATTGTCAGGGAGGCAAGAAGAGCGGGCTGGGCTGGGAGTTTTGTAGACTGAGGTTGCCTGGTTGAGGAAGGCATAATCTGAGCAGATGGCATAAATCTTTTCCCGGGTATGAGTCACTGGACAACTCGAAGGATAGTGACCATCTCCTCTGGGGACCACAGATGCTCCTGAGGTACTTGTGCAAAAAGATTGTACAGCACTGTGTAGATCCTCTTCTGGGGACTTGTTCTCAGATTTGTGCTCACCATGTCCAGAATCAGTGGATCTTCCAGCTTCTGCAACGTTAGGCATCGAAAGCAACTGCAGGCGTCCCTGTTCCTAGGAAGAAGCCACACCTCTCTCTCTTTTAGACAACAACTTTGGCAGATTTTTACAGCATTCTATAAAAGTTTGAAAGTTGACAAATGGGATCCTAAGAAAAGACAGGGGAGAAAGATGAATGTCAATAATCTTTATATTGAGTATGTTTCATACACCTATACTCAATGCATATTGATTTTATGCCCATACATTCTGAGTTATGATGACTAACCCTGTCTTATATTAGCACTTAGCTTAAGAGATGGATAATACAGCTTAGTTGGTGAAGTGCTTGCCATGCCAATATGAAGGCCTGAATTGGATCTGCAGCACCCACATTTAAAAATAAATAAATAAACAAACAAATAAATAAATAAATAAAAAATCTGGGTGTACCATAATGCCAGCTCTGGATAAGAAGAAGCAGGAGCATCCCCAGGGCTTGCTGGCTAACAGTCTAGGCAAGTCAGTGACTTTCTGGTACAGTGAGGAACCCTGTTTTAAAAAATAAGATTGAATAATGTGGAACATACCCAAGGTTGACCTCTGACCTCCACATGAGTACTGCGCACCTATACACACAACAATGAGCTTAAAACAAAATATGAGAATAAAATACAAATAATTCAGTTGAAAGGGGGAAAAGTCACATCTGTAAAGACATTACAGAGATGAACAATGAGTTCACGAAAAGTAGCTCATTATCATTAGTTGCTATGGAAACACAAGTCAAAGCCACAATGGTTTACCAACTTATACCCACCAAAATGGCTATACAAAAAGACACAGGCAACAGTGGATGTTCGGAAGTGTGTGGAAAATCAGATCCTTCATATGCTGCTATTAAAGATATAAATGGTCTGGTGGGCTTACCGAACAGTTTTGCATACATTTCGACACTTACTATGTAGTCTGGAAATTTCCCTTGTAGGTACATATAGAGAACATTAAACATTAAACCATGCCATGCCCCTAAATAGCAGCATTACTCAAAATGGCAAAAAGTGGAAAAAAAAAAAAAAAAACAAAATCTCGTAACTGACTAATAGAGATAAAGGTGGCACATCCATCCAGTGAAAGAGTACTTTGCAATAAGAACTACTGATCCTGATGCTAGATGAATGGACTTTTGAATATGCTAATGAAAAAGCCAGTCACAAAGGAATGATCTCTTAAGAGTTCAATTTTACACAAAAGCACCAGGAGAGGCACATCTACAAAGCAGAGTACACCTTAGCAGTGGCCTTGGGCTCAGCATGATGAGCCTTTCCTTTGAAATAATGAAAATAGTCCATAGTTAACACCGGAATAGTAGAGGTCCAACTTGGGGAATATTCTAAAATTCCACTAAAGTTTCAGTACATTGTAATGAGTAAATTTTATGGTGTGTGAATAAAGTCTAAATAATACTGCCTAAAGTAGTACACTGACAAGAAGACAAAAAAGTATATAGGGATAAACATACATGATGATAATGATCATCTTCAACAAACAAAGTTTACAATTTAAAGTCACTGTCACTAACTTCTGATCTTTTCAGGCAAAACAGCTTCAAGTCTAAATGAATTCCTCTGAGTAAGAAAACAGTAAAGTTCTAATAGCCACTGAGGGCATTCAAAGAAGCTACAATCTTACAAAGGAACAAGTCCCTAGTGAGACATAACATCACAGGAAATCAAAGGCAGATGCCAGGAGGAGAAAGACAGGCCTTTCCAAGCTCCAGTGACCATGAGAGATTAAGCCCACCTGTGGGGATCATTTTGGCCTTTTACTAATGATATATCTTCTCATTTTCTTACTTTAAACCCCAGAAATAAAAATAACCCCAGATTATGATTTGCTTAATAGCAATCACACAAGTATGGGGTGATATAAGCCTGGCTGAGTCTCTAAGAAACAGATGTGATGATGAACAGGGTCCCTCCAGCATCTCCTAAATGAAAGGAATAAAGGCTGAGTGCACCACTAATGGAATTTAAGAAAATACACTCCTAGGAAGGAGATGCCATCTGTGCCAAGTGAGCTTCCCTTCCTATAAGACGTGCCCTCGCATCACAACTTCAACTAGGCTTTTTCCTCACCTGCAATTATCAGTGGCTCACAGGACAGAGGATATTATCGAGTAAGGCAGCACCTGCAGTGCTTTTACTTTTTTTAAAGATTTATTTATCATGTAGACAGTATTCTGCCTGCATGAATGCCTCATGTCAGAAGAGGGCACCAGGCCTCATTATAGACGGCTATGAGCCACTATGTGATTGCTGGGAATTGAACTCAGGACCTCTGCAAGAACAGCCTCTGAGTCATCCATCTCTCTAGCCCCTAGAATACTTTACTAAGATGTCTTAGTGTGTCTACAGATAGAGTATGAGCTTTCTCCTTTTTCCTCATTCTTTGATGTGATACAAAAGGAAGCATAATAAATGAGGTTTGCAAATCACACTGGTCTTCTCTGAGGGTTGCATTTCTACAATTCTTGATTTCCAACTTCCTATCTGTGATCGTCATGTCTTTCTTTAGGATCTGTGTGGTGGAGGGGCATGAACGTATCTGTGATTGGGTGAGAAAGAATAACAGATGATCAGCTGGGACAGTGGACAAAGGTTATTGAGTCAGTGCATCACACTCACCCCAGGCACTGCCCTTTGAAGATCATAACCTGACACTTAATCCCACCTTGCCGTCATGTCCTTCCACTAAGATTTTGACTATGGGACCAGTAATATGTGCTACAGTTTGATGATTTTATGCTCATTTGGAACATAAGAAAGGAAAAAAAGTATAGGCAAAATTGAATGTGGTAGCCCATTTCTGTAATCCCAGGACTCAAGAGACAGAAACATAAGGGCTGCTTTGAGATGGAGTTGGGACTAAACTGCATAACTAGTTCTTTGCTAGCCAGCAGTCCACACTGGGCAAAACCCTAGCTCAATAGATAAATAGATAAAATAGATAAATAGATAAAAAGCTTCACTTAAGAATAAAAAATATGACTGAACTTGCTAGAAGATGGTGATTAAGAGTACAGCACTTGATTAATAAAACATGTGACCATCTGTTTTTAAAAGCAACGGTCACTGAACAAGAACAATCTCTTTGGTCCCATTTTATCCTACAAAACTAACTGTCCTCTAACTGAAAATATATTTTACATAGATTGTCCCTGAAAATGAAAGTTATCAATATTTCCTCATTTGAACATCTCTGAAAATATATGTATTTATAGATTTAGTGGCACAAGTAAAATATATTGCAGAAAAAAAGAGGTATCAGAAGATATTTCATAGAAAATGACCCATGTTAGTGATTTTCTTCTCTCCACACCATGACTAATCCACATCTTTGCCCCTCTGCAGTTAAATTCAGAGGGGTTTCTGAAAGCAGGACTTCACTTGGAGCCTGCTTTCTTAAAATGAAGAAAGCACAATTACTGGAAACAAAACCATACACAGATTATTCTTGTAAGATGCATTTGTAGTCTTGGAGAAAACTGAGGAATGATTGCCCACCACTTAGCCTGCAGCTGTGTGGGATTTGTATCTCCTCCCATCTCCATGTTTATAACTACTCGCACCCACCCTTCCAGCTGTCCTTCCTACTCTGATCCCTACACAGACAGCAGGTAGTAAAGTCATAGAGCTTCCCAGCCTAGAGCCCTCAGCTCTTGGAGCAAAAGGCTAACTCCTTAAATGGTCTGAAATCTCTCTCTTGATTAGAGCCACCTTACCCCACACACCATCTTCTGTCCTTCCACAGTACTTCCTCATTTTCTGAATGCTGTCTTCTAGCCCCCACTCCCTTACTGTCACCACATCTTTTAAAGGCATACTCAAATGTCACTTTCTGGAGAAACTTCCTTCGGTATTCTAACTAGGCTAGGTTTCCTTTTCGTACTGGGGGACCTTTCTTCCCAGAATATGATTTTACTGGGTGGGTGGGTGGGTGGGTGGGTGGGTGGGTGGGTGGGTGGGTGTGTGTGTGTGTGTGTGTGTGTGTGTGTGTGTGTGTGTACACAAATGGCTGCCTCCTGAAAGTCTGGATGTCCAGCAAATTGTATTCCAGGGCCTAGCCTTTGTAGAAGATAGGTCCAACGAATAATTTTTGGGTGCCTACAATGCACCAGGCATTATTGTAATTGTTTCCCTTCATTTTTATTAACATATTAAGACTTGGTTATTACCAAATGAAGATGATTGCAGGGATATAGTTCAATTCCGCAGTTTATACACAGTATCTCCTAAGCAGTATGAATCCCCAAGCTTTCAGAACAGCAGTAAAGAAATGACTTGTGAAAGTCATTGGAATAAACAGCTCTGTCAAAACAAAACAAACAAACAAAAACATACCGATTGCAAAGTCAATATTCATCGCCTGAGTTATGTTCTTTTAAAGTTATGTGCTCTTCGTATCTACATGGCTAAGTACCACGTTCAGCAGAGAAGTAGACATCTTATAAAATCTCAATAAAGCTTTCCACATGTCGCAAATAACCTAGTTAATGTTCTGTATAGAAAACAACGGAGAGGAAGAACAGAAGTGTTGTACTGAGGATTGTTGAGAAACGCTGAGACATCAGCCTGGTCCCCCCTTCTCCATCAGCGTCCTGCGCCCAATTTCCTGTCCCCTAGCCTTGACCATCAATCAGACCAGATCCGCTCCAGGCGGCCTACCTGAGGGTACCAGATTCCTGCAGCGCGCAGTTCCCAGCCCAGGCCCTGGGAAGCCAGGAGACTTCCCACCGCCCCTCTGCGAGGCCCCGAGGCCACCTGAAGGTGACAGCGATGCTGGCGGAGCAGACCCAGGAGCGCCGGGGCTCGGGAGTACAACTGCAGCAGCGAGGCTGTGCCGGGTTCCCACTCCCCGCCCAAGGTGGCCAACCCAGAGCCCGGAGTCGCCACTGGCCGAGGCTAGTTAAAGCCTCCGAAGCTCCTCCGGGCCTGCTCCCTCACTCCCAGCCGGAAGACAAGGTTCACCAGGAGGGGGAGCGCGCGCAAGCCCGTGGGGTGTCTTCCAACCTGTGGGGGACTTTAGGAGCGGGAATCAAGTGGGCAGTGGCAACCCGGGAAATGGGAGAGGAGGCCGCGACAGATGAGCTGATATCATCAATAATGATAATGGTGAGGGAAAAAAAAAAATCTCCACGCCAGGGCTCACAACCAAGCGGGCTTTAGCTCACCGAGCCACCAGGCATCTGAGTTTTCCACGCCCCTTGACTGGTGGAGTGAGGGATCGAGCCTGCTACTTCTCTAGACCTTCCTGGCCCAGATGCGGGTGTGCATGGAGAGAGGATGGCCACTGCAGGCCGGGTGCCCGAGACGCTTTAGCGTAGCGTGGAAACGCGCTCCTGGAGAGGGTAACCTGGTACCCACCGATGCACCCCAAAGCCGAGCTCTGTTTCGGTGATTTCTATCCCTTGAACCTGTCCCTCCTTTGAGACCCAGCTCGACCCAGACCCTTCCAGAGAAGACAGACAAGGAGGCAATGGCGGCGCTGCGGAGAGGCGGAGCGCACGGATGACCAGTCCCTGGGCCCGGCCCACCACCGGGGAGTACCTCCATTCTCGCTGGGTCGCAGAACTCCGGTGCTGGAAGGCAACAGCAGATCTGCATCCTCGCGCCTCCTACCCTAGGCCCGGAGCCTTTCGTCCCATTCCAGCGCACAGGGACAGCGCCAGGACCTTGGAGCCAGGTGGTTGGATATCACTGACAATACTTGCCTTCCTTTCATTGTTTAATATATACCTGCCATTTGCAGGTGCGGTGGATAACGAGGACAAAATTTTTGTTGGGAAATCTTAGTTATTACTCCAGACATGCCAGTCCCCTGTTGTGCAACTGTAGTGCTTAAGGATTCCCCAAAAGCCGTGATCCAAAATTTTGAAAGGAGGGGAAAAAGTGGGGGGACCGCCCCCCTTCCAGCCGGCAGGACTTCCGCTAGTCCTGTGGTGGACTACACATCCCAGGGAGCCGAGGGCCCGGGACGCGTGTCCACTTTGACCTACTCATCCACTAGCAGAAGAGCTTACTAACCGGGCCGCTGCGCAGGCCAATCCTTTGCAACCCACCTTGGCTGGAACCTGCGACGGATTCGTCCCCAAAATGATGCTCTAGTGGCAGAACTAACACAAGTTTGTCATTGTCCAGAGAAAGAGGATCCTGCCCTGCAGTTCTTACCTGGTTCAGCAGACCGAGCAGTGTCCTTCTCCTGAACATGCAAGCGATCCGGTTGTGACATCCTCAGGCACAGTGGAGACCCGCGCTTCGACACCGCACATCAAGCGACACTTTAGGGACCTTCTTTTTTGGCTGCTGCTAGGACTAGCCACCTTGCCCCTACCTACCCAAGCTAGCTTCGTCCACTTAGCACGTTTGCATTTATCTGTGGATCTTCTGAAAGTCGGTCTTGTAAATGTTCAGCATTTCGCTGCTTTCCTGCCTTTTTCTGGGGACTGTGTCAGCACTTGCCCAGACCGCCGAAGAGAGGAGGCTGAGCCCAGAGAAGAGCGAAATATGGGGGCCTGGGCTAAAAGCAGACGTGGTCCTTCCAGCCCGCTATTTCTACATTCGGGCAGTGGATACCTCAGGAGAACAGTAAGTAGAGAAATGACTTCTCAACTATTTGATATCGCGGTTTAAAATTACTGGGGTTTTGTTGTTATTGTCTGTTTTGTTTTTGTCCTTCATTTTTATCTGCCTCAATGTGTCTTTTCTCCAGACAGCTTACATTACATTTGAGTAGTGTCTATATCTGGTTATAACAGGCTTCCCCTTTTCAAATCAATTTTTCTGTATAACTTTTGGAAATAATTCCAAAATATGTATTCAATATGATATAAAATATTGCTAACTGACAGCTTTTTTCTTAACTGATTAGATTGGAATTGAGGCTAAACATCTCTCCCTTATTTTTAAGTGCTTTCCCTCCCACAAGCTTTTTTTAAGAAAAATAGTACAACTAGGGAAACTAAATACTAAAAACTAAACACATCCCAAATAAAGGAATATTTAGTCCTTGTGTTGCTACTATGATAGGCCAACTGTTTTGATCTTCCCACAACTAAACATAATTGAAGTACAAGTAATATTTGTTAGAATTTTTATTAGTAGTAGTATTTTAATTATGTGAATGTGAGTAGGATATATCCCACACATGAATTCAGGTGCTGGAGGAAGCCAGAGAGGGCATAGATCTCTTTGAGCTGGAACTGCCTGCCTGTAGTTGTGATCCTTGGGGACTATGGGACCTGAACTAAGTCTTTTATATGACACTAAGTGCTCTTAACCACTGAGTTATCTCTCCAGCCCCAAGAATATTGAGTTTATGAGTCATGAAGAGCAAGTCTTCAAAATAAGATCATCCTTGAAGTAACCATTTAATGAAAGACAAATTGCCAGATTTGCTGAACAGACTGATAGGAATATTTATTTGTTATCTTTATTTGTTTGCTAAATAAATTGGTAGTATTAATGTATTCCCTGGAAGTATTTTATGGTATTTTTATCTTTGATCCATCATATTGGTTCTGGTACTAAAAACCTAAGAAAGAAGCCGTATATATCTTAGGACATACAGCTGTATATCTTAGGATATACAGAATACTCAATCTTTACAGATTAAAGAGAATAAACAGTGTGCATTTGCTCTTAAAATAACCATCTCATCTCATCTCTCTTCCCATCACAGGTTCACATCTTCTCCAGGTGAAAATGTGTTCCAGGTTAAAATCTCAGCACCTGAGGAGCAGTTCACTAGAGTTGGTGTCCAGGTTTTAGATCGGAAAGATGGGTCCTTCATAGTGAGATACAGAATGTATGCAAGCTACAGAAGTCTGAAGATCGAGGTTAAACACCACGGTCAACATGTGTCCAAGTCTCCTTATGTCTTACAAGGTATTTTGAAACAAAATGTTATGATAGGATTTGAATACAAAAATGCATGTCATTCCATCAATAAGAATTGATATGTGTATATGAACATAGGAAATTGAAACAACGTCTCACAAAATCATACCGTTGTAACCATTCTTGCTTCTGTGCTGTACTACTTCAGACTTTTTATTTTATGTGCATGTGGGTGCAGATCTCAGCTATAAAAAAGAATCATCAGGGCTGAAGAGATGGCTCCATGGTTAATCACACTGGCTGTTTTTCTAAAGGACCTGAGTTTGGTTCCCAGCACACATAATGGCACCTCATGACTGTAACAACTACAGGCCCAGGGGCCTGATACCCTCTTGTGGCCTCCAAAGGCACTGCAGGACGTACATGCAAGCAAAACACCTGTACACATAAAATAAAAACAATGGAAAATAAATAAATAAAAAATGAGTAATCAAGTTAGATATGTAGACATAGATAACTCTTGAATGAATGAACTAATTAAGTAACTGATAGTCATCACTAAAATTGCCAGGTGTGTTGGTTGACACATGCCTTAAATCCCACTGCTCTGAGGAGTTTGAGTCCAGCCAGGTGGCTTGAAACCTCCTGGTTTGGTTGTCATCGCCATACCACTATTATGGAGAAAGTCTCTGCTGGTTTCCCTCCTGGGGTCAGAAGAGAACTTTTTCATTTTCCCTTTAAGGGAAAGGAGACAGGACCACAAGAAAATTGAGAATTTTTTTTAATTGTCTAAATTCCTCTCTTACATTTTACTGGGACTCCATGGTACAGTCCAACCTGCAAAGCACTAAATGTATATAAATTTCATCATTACCTATTGACTAGATCAGGTTGTAATTTGAGGATTTCAGAAAGGAATAACAAACACAGTGCCAGTTCAGATTCTTACATTAGCACTATTTTTATAAATGTATAATTAATTCATTGTGATATTAGTGAGACCACATATTTATAGGATAGCCTTTACTTCTTTATATTGTCTCAAAAAAGCAGCGGGGGATGGAGAGGTAGGAGTCCTTTGTTTACTCTGTTGTCGCTGGCAATGGTTTGCCCATTGAGAAAAGTATGTTAGACACCCTAAGAACTTGTTTATATAATGAACCAGCAAAATCGTAATTCATTTCACATTTATCATTTAGCACGCAGATTCCTCGCTCTTTGCCAATATTTGGTTATTCCTTTATTTATTTATATATGTATGTGTGTCTACAATGGGGGTATGTTCGCACATGTGCAGGTATCACAGAGGCCAGAGTGGTATCAGATTCCCTAGGCCTGAAGTTATAGTAGTGGTGGGTCCTAGGTCCCTTACTCAGGTCCTCAGCCAGAGCAGCAAGCACTCTTAAACTGGTAATTCATTCTCCAGTCCCGCAATTATCCTTATGTAATGAATTATATCCACATTAAGCATGAATTACTACCCATTGGCTTGATTTGCACCTGCAGAAAGCAGGCCAGAATAGAAAAATATAGGAAGAAGAGCTGTGGCAGGCTAGGGTAGAAGATTGATAGAAATTCATGGAGTGCTTGTTTACTGTGACTCAGTTGCTAGGTGAAATGCTCACCACTGTGTTGCTTGTCTGTGAGCAGGACCAGTTTACCATGAGAACTGTGATTGTCCTTTGGAAGACAGTGCAGCCTGGCTACGGGAAATGAACTGTTCAGAAACCATCACTCAGATTCAGAAAGATCTGGCACAATTCCCTACAGTTGATCCTGAAAAGATTGCAGCAGAAATCCCAAAACGATTTGGACAGAGGCAGAGCCTGTGCCACTATACTTTAAAGGACAATAAGGTACAATATGACCAAGTTTGCTTGTTTTTTGGACTCTGATGTTTTGACCATTTGATTACACCTGGCTACTTTTGTTAAACATCATACTATGTGCATCTTTTGAAAAGCCTCTCCCCA